TTTATTTCTTCTCAACGGAACAACTTAAAGATTATGCAAAAAGTGATTTTGATGTAAACTTTGTGATTTTCGTGAGTGAATCATCTTGTGTTTAGAATTTACAGGGCTGGCACAGTTCACTTAAAAACTTAAACTAATTTTACTAAAAACCAATTATACTATTTAATAGTTCAGTTTTCTCCCATTTTCTCCTAACCTCTCAACTTGCCGTTGACGTCGTCGAAGGATCGTCGCCGTCGAAGGATCGTCGCCGTCGAAGGATCGTCGCCGTCGAAGGATCGTCGCCGTCGAAGGATCGTCGCCGTCGAAGGATCCTCGCCGTCGAAGGATCGTCGCCGTCGAAGGATCGTCGCCGTCGAAGGATCGTCGCCGTCGAAGGCTCGTCGCCGTCGAACGCTCGTCGCCGTCGAAGGCTCGTCGCCGTCGAAGGCTCGTCGCCGTCGAAGGCTCGTCGCCGTCGAANTACCTTTTGCCATTATTTAAAAGGATTTTGCACTCTGTACTAGGAATTGCCATTACTCTTCTCCGAACCGCAGATGCACATTGTGTTCTAGAGACGTAACTGTTTTTATTCCATATCCGAACCTGAAAATGGCATATTGAGGGAAATTGGAATGATGAAAGAAACAATTGGAGGTCTTTTTAAACAAATGGGTTAATAGACACAACTAAACTGAAAGACATTGCAGATAAAACGCAATATCTGGATTAAAGTCATATAAACTTCAAGTTAAATCAATAAGAAAACAGTTGGATTCGCTTACTGTAAAGTCATCAGAACAAGTTGCGAATTTGCCAATTTCGGAGCTACACCTGTCAAATAAGTAGTGTTAAAAACTAATGTTAAAGAAAAATAGAACCACAAAAGGTTTCCAAATTACCAGTTAACTGCTGTAACTTCACCATCGTGAGTTTTCAAAATAGTAGGATCTTCCAAAGGCTTGTCAACCTGAATTTTGAAAGTTCAGTGAAATTATATCCAAACTGCAACATATGCATCAAACCTAATATCTCATTGTAATTTATAAGAATGAAACCTTCCAAACATAGGCGTTTCCATCACTAGAACCACTGACAATGTTTGTCGCATCAGGGCTAATTGCAGACTGAAATTGCACACATCATACAGTTAGGAGTTAGGACAGAAACTGAATGAAGAAGATTTGGACAAGTGCAATTCTCACCTTTACAAAAAATGATTCAATTCGGCACCCAGAAAAAGATTTTACAGGCCCTTTTTCAAGTTGAAGGGTGTTGTACAAATAAATTCTGCAAAAACGATAGATTTTATATTTTGCTATATATTCTTAACTTAGAAAAAAGAAACATACACACTATCAAAGGATGATACCGGTTATCCATGCAGGAAGCCGAAAGAAAAAGTCCACTTTCATCTTGGGACAAACTAGATATTCCGTGCAAACTTTGCTGAAATGACAACGAACAAGACTGTCATGAAACTTTACGACAATATCATTTAAGTTTTCCAATATATAAAATTGTTCTAATGACATGAAAGGCATAATACACCTGACATTTCCTACCACATTTACATTTTAACTTTAAGGGTGCTGTAATGATTATTCTAAGTTGAGGCTATAATCTTTTCCCAACCAACTTGAAAATTAAGAATAAATTGATACGAGTACATGATAAATTAAGTAATCCTAAACACAATATAATCCTGATAAATAAGGTAAGCCACTCAAGAATCATGATCCAACTTATCCAACACCGTTAATTGGTTACTCACAGAAAGTATAAGAAAAATATACTTTCCCTTTAGAGCAAAATTCCAACCAACCTTTTCAGTTGACTGAGGACATGGACACGTCTGAGTAACACTATTTTTCAAATTTCTAGTATCCCAAAACTTCAACACGCTGAAATAAATCAATTCGTTAGTCAAACCTATCCATTCACGTAAAAACAGTGGAAAATTAAATGTTCAATATGAATTTTCCAACTAACCTATCCACTGCTCCAGCACTTGCTACGGAAACCTGGTCCTTGAGACAAAGAACAGACGTAATGCTCATGGAAGCGGCCTGACCATTAGGAATTGTTAGAAAAGTTTAGTTTGCAAGATACAAAGAAACCTAGATCCCTCACAAACTAACCTTTCCCCTTCTTGTTCGTCGTGTTTGAGATGAAACATGTGCTCCGTTGACGCCACCCATTGAACTAGCAATCAAATGATAACAAATTAGTTTTAAATAAAATATAAAGTTCGTTAAGGACCAATAACTAAACTATCAAGAAACCAGTAATTTCATTAGTTTTTCAAATTAAAAAGAAAAGAGTCACTTACCATATGCTAACTTCTCCCCGTCTACCCTTAGCAGTGGACTTGCATCTCAAGTCCCAAATACGAAAGGATCCATCTCTAGAACCAGAGACAATAATATCTGAAAGTTTGAAAAAAATGAATATTAACAGCTAACAAATTACTGTACAGTTATTAAAAAAAATCCGTAGTTCAAGCATAAACCCATGATGCAGGTAAAACGAAACACCACCTGCATTAGTTGGATGGGGACACATAGATTTCACACTTCCCGTGTGCCCGATCAACACTCCAAGACACTTTTGTTCTTGAACATCCCATAATTTTATCTGTAAACATACAATAAGAACATTCAACCCAAAACCATCTTGAAGAAAAACTGCTATGTAAATACTATATCCGTTTACACAATGATCACCAAAATTTATTCAATTCTAACTCGGTATGATTAAATCAACATCTATATATACTTAATTTGATCTAAATTTAGACAACAAGATCTGTTATGAACAACTGTCCAAATCATTGCTCTGGATGCCAGAGTGACTTACTGTTTGATCACCGGACGCAGTGAGAATCTGCATATCCTCCTGCAAATAATTACAAACCATATCAAGTCATGCACAAAACACTAAAAACAAATAGCTCAAATAATAATGTATTAAATGAATTAAAAGATATATGAATTGCACGTACCTTAATCCAACAAGTATCAAAAACAGCATTCTGATGCGAAACCCAATCGCAGATCTTCTCTTCTTCTGAGTTAAAAAGAAAAAAATTTCACACAACCGACCACAAAACTCTGCGGCTTCTATGTTTTTTTCATCATATAACTCAACAAATAAAGAAGAAATAAGAAAAAATACCTCTGTTTTCTTCAAAGTTTGGGTTAAGAGGGCATTTGCGACGAGTATCAAACAAGCTAACATAACCGTCTTCATCAGACACAGCAAGAATGTGTGCAAATTTCGTAGTCTGCGAGACAAAATAAACAAGGAGCCCAGGTTATATTTGCAGTTTCATCACAACGTTTGATATTGTAGAAAATTGCAAACAAATGAAGCCAATGGAGCTGCAATTACAATCACAGTGATTTCTAAAACCTCAACAGCGCACTCAATTCTAGTAAATTGAAGACAAATGAAGCCCGTGCAACCAGGATAGAGGTTGAAATGACTCCAAAAACCCTAACACAGCAGTCACTCCCATCAAACTGCGGATGAACGCATCAATGGCAATCACTGTGACTTTAAAAACCTAAACAGACAATCAAATTCCTAATAAATTGCGTATATATGCACATGATGTCGCCACGATTCCTTAAGTACATATTTGGTTTCGTGTCCGTTTAAATCAACACGAATCCATGTTTCACACTCAAAGAGAAGTTTCTTCGAATATCTTCCATTTTTTTCACATCCAAAAGATGAATCAAATCTTCAAATGTCAATCCGAACAGACACACAACACATTCAAAACAGTAATAAAATTCAGACAAATGCAACTGGAACATCCGCAATCACAATCGCAATGACTTCAGAAACCTTGATACTGCAGTCAACGTCGTAATAAATCACAGACCAAAGCATCTGGTGACGAAGTTGCTTCAAGAAACTGTGACGACGTGGCAAAAACCGCGGTCGCAAACACTTATACAAAACATTGAAAGAAGCGAAATATAGACTGAAAGTGGAAGGCTCATTAGCGAGAGTACCTTGCCGAAGGAGAGAGAGAGGGGAATGGTGTCTTCGGCATTGTGCTGTACGGCGACGTATCCGGTTTCATTGAAGGCGGAGACGAATCCTTCCATACGCGGTCGTTTTCGAACTGCGGACATAGAAAGAGAGTGAGAAAACGTGAGAGTTTTCCAGTGAAAACTGAGTTCGAGAGAGAAAAACCTCGGAAGAGTTCTCTGGAGGCTATGTGAGTGAAGAGAGAGTTAGAGCTTCGAGCGTCCATGGCCATTGAGAGAGGAAGAAGACGAATAACTGAAGAAGAAAGAGATTAGGGATTAGGGATTTGATTTGGGTTTGGGAGAGAAGGAAAAAGGAGGGAAGAAGAAGAACTATATTTGATGGTAGAGTTTGGGCGCCATGAATGAGAGGGAACATTCGCGGGAACAAACTTCAATTCATTTTCGGAACTTTAAATAAAATAACAAAGAAATGTTGGGTTGGGCTCCCTAATTCCCTTATTGCTTCCTGCACCCACCTATTTTTTAACTACACTCCTGTTCCGTATACGAAATATCTGAATTGCTTTCAGGTTTTTTAATTTTGCCCTAATTTTTTCTTCTCTACCCAGTCCTTCTTCCTCCCGCAACCTTTGTGACTGACGTTGCTCCTCCGATTGAGGTTAGTTTTTTTTTTTTTAACTGATTTTTCCTGTGATGCACATTTACTCTTCGGGATTGATTTGACTCTCTTATGCGTTAATTAATTTTAAAATTTGGTGAAACTCTTTGTTTTTATTTCTTCTCAACGGAACAACTTAAAGATTATGCAAAAAGTGATTTTGATGTAAACTTTGTGATTTTCGTGAGTGAATCATCTTGTGTTTAGAATTTACAGGGCTGGCACAGTTCACTTAAAAACTTAAACTAATTTTACTAAAAACCAATTATACTATTTAATAGTTCAGTTTTCTCCCATTTTCTCCTAACCTCTCAACTTGCCGTTGACGTCGTCGAAGGATCGTCGCCGTCGAAGGATCGTCGCCGTCGAAGGATCGTCGCCGTCGAAGGATCGTCGCCGTCGAAGGATCGTCGCCGTCGAAGGCTCGTCGCCGTCGAACGCTCGTCGCCGTCGAAGGCTCGTCGCCGTCGAAGGCTCGTCGCCGTCGAAGGCTCGTCGCCGTCGAACGCTCGTCGCCGTCGAACGCTCGTCGCCGTCGAAGGCTCTCCGCTATCGAAGGCTTTTCCGCAGCCGTCGCGTCGCCCAACTGAAGCCTCTACCACTATCATCGAAGGTTCTGAAAACACTCTTCCAGAAATAGAAGCAAAAGGATATTACTCTAATAGACGAATGTTTTTCGCTTTCTCTTTCAAAGGAAATAAATAAAATTGGAAAGCAATGCACTTTGTATTCATCTCATGTAACTTACAGAGTAAGTGGCAGAACTTTGATCAGGTTTTGTTGCTGTTGGATTACGAGGGGACCATATATATCATAAATGTCAATCACTCCAATCTCATTATCCCCTCTTATTTAGTATTCGTTGCATTCACTTGTCATGTTCCCACTCTCAAAGTCACAACGCCTTTCAATTCCTTCATGGGTTTCATCTGAGTTCAAAGCATTTGATATGATTTCATAGTTTGTAGCATGTTATCGATCAAGTTCATCAATGAGTTATGGAATGATCTTCTTGGTCAAAACGCAAAAATATATACAGCAAAAGTTGACTCACTCACCGCAATCCCTTTGAGGTTAATGACTGTAAGATTTGTAAGCTTATTAGTGAGAATAATAAGGCTTATATTAATGATTGGCATCGAACCTTAAGGCTTATTAAAGTATTATTAATTTAACGAGGTTCACTGCTACCAATACAAACCAGTTTGTGACTTGATGAGCTTGCTGTATTTCAGTTTTGTTGCATCATGTTGGTTTAAATCTCTTTTTAATCCATAGTTTAGTTTGCAATTGGCTTCTATTTAGAAGAATTAAAACATGTTAGGCACTAATGCTTTTCCAATTCAATGGTAAAAACATTGTTACAGATTTGAGGGAGCCTTTCAATCTTCAGAAGGGTTGGCTTTTATGGGCTGGAGTTGGACTTGTTGGTTCCATAATTGCCACTGCATTGACCGGAGTTGCTGTGTCTTCCTTCAGTGGAGAAACCCCACAAAGAGAGGTTTATACTCTATTTTTCAAATTTTACTGGCAGATGCAGATGTAATTATTGGTTTCTACTTGTTAAACTATTTTCTTTGTAGCATGGGAGGAGGCAATTTAGGGTCACTGATTTTCAAATAACATTATTATTGAAACACTGATCTTGGAATTACATCACAGCTGTTTATAGTATGATGTTGACTAGCCATCATGGTATGGATCATCATAGCTAACTAGGCAACTCTGTATATCTTCCTTATGTTCCTTAGCAAAATTAATCTTTCTTGATAAGATTCTTACTTTGTTCTGTTAAAGTTTGTCTTATATCATAGTGTTTAATAAAACCATGTGGGTATCTCTTATGTGCTTCTATAATCTTCTTTTCAGACTAATGCTCTTGTTCGCTTGCTTCCGTTAATTGGATCTTCAAATCTCAAGTAATTTAATATATTCATAATCCGTTCCGTTATTTTAAATTGAAGTTTCAGTGTTATGCTTTGATTACAGAAATTGCAGTAAAATATGGCTTATGCAGCAAAATTGCAGTTACAGAGGTATCTAAAACCATAACATTGTGTTGACATTGCAGTTGTGGACTGTAATTTCAGATCATAGTCCCTCCTTCTACTAATGAAAGGAATTTGTCAAAAGTTTCCATCTAGGTTCTGTGTCCTGGATTCTTAAGCGAGTGATTGATTGTGTTTATTTTCGTTGTAGTACTGCGTGCTTGGTGGGCATCACAGGTGTTCTTGCTCCACTCCTCGACCAAGTGGTATTGTTGCCTTCATACTCGTTGATTTGTTGTTTATGTTTTTTGTTTTTCTTTTTGACTTTAGCATTCTTTTATTACCATATATCATGATAATACATGTTAAAGAAGCTACAGCTTGCCCTGAAAGTTGGACTTTCTTCTTTTTGAATTAGATATGCATTGGGATGATAATTGAACAGAGAAGGTTTCAACCAGTGCAGCTTCAGCTATACTGTAGTTAGCTTATATCCTTGACATAAAATGGAAAAGTTAATTAGAATATAGTGAAGTTTGCCTTGTTCTAGCTAGTTGCTATTTTTCCTTCCAGTTAGGTTTCTGATCATATGGGTGTATTTTGACTTTTACTTTAGGTGGTAGTTCTTCAATCAACCTGGGTAACTTTAGAGTTTGATTGAATGTCCCTTCACGGTTTATGAACATAAAGTGTTACTGAAGTTTCAGAAATTGTCTAAGCTCTTATGTAGGTTGCAGCACCTAAATACAACTTCCCCATTGCATTAAGATATGTTGGTTTATATTTCAGTGAAACTGTTTTTAGTTAACTGAACTGTACTGCAGTATAGCTGAACTAAAAAATAGTTCAGTTCAGAGTACTCTGAACTATTGTTTAGTTCAGTGCAGTTTTTTTGAATTAGTTTATAATTAACTATAAACTTTTATAGTTCAGTGCAATACAATATACTTTGCCCATCCCTAAGAATTTAGATTAGCCTTGCAACTACCGAAAGACTTGTTGCATATAGCTTTCTTGGTTTTTTTTATTTGTCTTGGCAGTCAGTTTCATAAATCACCATGTGTCAACACTTAGCTTAGCCCTTTTGTGATATTGAATAGAGGTTCGTTTTGGTTTCATAGGTTTCTTTTTTATATTTTTTGCTAAGATTTGGAATAAGTATCGATGCTTATAAGGTCTCTAGTTGGATGTGCAGTGACTTGTTAATTTAATTTTTGGTTGAATCGAATAAAAAATATGAAAAAATAATTCCTTTGAACAACCTTTTCTTCTACCAAATGCCCTAATTCCATGTAGTTTTAACCTGGACAGCTAGATATTTTGCAAGTCATCTGATTCTTAGGTTCATATTGAACATCTGTTTTGATATCAGAGAGTTTGAAATGTGAATTTGATTTAAAATTAGTTTTGTTGGCGATTTTGTGAAGTTATTTTAAAACCACTTTTGGGATTGAATCTTCATGCCATATTTCACTCGTATTTCTTTTAAAACTAATTTTGGAGAAGAAAGTGTTGTAAATTTTTTTAGGAGAAATGTTGGTTTTAAAACTAGTTTTGAGATTGTGCCATTTGGAAATTTGCATGTCTCACGGGCAAAAAAGAAACTGCCTAATCAATAAAAGCTGTCTTACAATTTTACAGAGAGAAAGAGATGGATTCTTCTCCTTCACAGGACATATACATTCCGGAACAATGGTCTGAGGCTGCAGAATCCATTTCTTGCAGTTCAACACCTCCTATTGTTTTTATATGTGGTGCCAAAAATTGTGGGAAGACGACCTTTTCCCGCTATCTCCTAAATATCCTCTTGCACAAATACACCAAAGTAGCTTATCTGGATACTGATGTTGGCCAACCTGAGTTTACTCCTCCTGCTTTTCTATCACTATCCATTGTTCACAAAGTAACTCCAGGTTGGTTGGTGATTCCCTATCTTAATTTTTGCAAAAAAAAGTATTTTACAATTTATTTCAAAATTATTCATTTTTTTTAATTATTTTAGATTTGACAGTTCCATGCCTGAAAACACCAGAGAGGTATGGTGCTATCTCATCTCAATAATTTGGGAGCTGAAACTGTGTTTTTTTAATTTTTGTTATGTTACTTTGAATCTTTGAAACATTTGACAAGGCTGCTGATTTGTGACAGATTTAACATCTATTCAGTATTCATGTGAATTGGAGTGTGTAAAGTTTTGGCATGTTGTATTCTCCGATTGGCAGTTATGTCAAGATGATTGCTACCGATGTGTATTTCATGCTTCTGGATTAAGTAGAACCGATCTTGACAACAGATCTCTCTGTCATACAAAAATAGAAAAAATATTATACATTGACATTTTTCATATGATTTTGTCCTGTACATGGTTGTTCCTTTTTCTTATGAAGCTGTAAAAGTCTAGGGTCCCAGGCATTATTCTGTGTCTCTTTTTAGGGAATGGAGTGGTTGGGATTGGGGTCATTTCTGATTGCTGTGAAATTTTTTGTAAACAGAGTTGGATGACATATTTTGTGCCTTGGATCTGTGTTCAACCCTGTATTTGTCAGCCAATTTGGGTATTCCATGATTAAACATGTGATGGACTTGCTGGCTATCTGTCATTTTTTTTGTAACAGGTGTCTTTTCTTTGGTGACGTTTCTTGTAAAAGAGATCCATCAACATACTTAATTTATGTCTTTGCCATTTATGATTATTACCAAAAGGAGTATGGCATCTCTGTGAAGGGAGAAAATCTTTGTAATATCAAGTTGCCTCTTATTGTGAATACTCCTGGCTGGGTGAAAGGTAAGCTCACTTTTTTCAGCTGTTAGTCTTGTCAACACCCAATTTTGTCCGGATTGACCATAATAAGTTTATTTTATCTTATTTTATTTTATGTTATTTTCTTTCGTTTTTATTTATGTTTTAATTTTACTTTTTTTTGTATATATTTAGTTATTTCATTTTGTTTGTTCTAAAAAATATATAAAAAATATATAAAAAATAATAAAAAAAAGCGTAGTCACCCATGTTTTGGACAGAGATGGTTTTCCATTTTTAAGAACAATTGGTGAGGGTCCATGATTGTTTTTATTGTTTCCATTAAGAGAGTAGTGCACTTGGACGGTTGGAAGAATTTCTGAGCACTGAGACAGGAGGTCCCTGGGTGAAGAAGACAGCTAACAAATTTTCCCACTTCAGCATCTGCCAATCAAAGCTGCCGACAATGGCACCCCTTCTGCCAATTTAAGGAAGTGCAGCAATGATCTTCGGGGGGGCATCCATCTCTTCATCCCTACGCCTCACGGCCAGTACCTTTTTTCTTCTTCATTTTCATTTCCAATCATCAACACCTCACGGCCAACACCTAGGATCTTCATCCTTATTACCTCACGATCACCATCTTCATCCTTATACCAGATACACGACCACGCCCACGGTTACAGGGGAGATACTACGACCATCATCATTCACACACGGCCAACATCCACCAATCTTCATCAAACCATCATCTTCATCTCTTTCCTTTTCATTCTTCATCTCCAACACCTTTTTATCCTCTGTTGCTCCTCTCAATGATCAATTCATGCTATCCTCCGTGTTGTTTCATCACCTTTACATCCTTTTGTTTCATCCATCAAGCAACCAATCGAAAACCATTATTTCTTGAACCTGCAACCAGAGAGCATCACGCGCATCTCACCAATAACCCGTAACCATCCCAACCATACTTCCTGTTCACTCCAAGTTCCACCATCTCAATCCTTCTCTATTCATTGCTCTGGCAACAAAGAACACCAAAACAGATTCAAACCACAAGCTTATCGGCAGAGAAGCAGTGACGCGGGGGCTCGATTCCGGCGGTGAGCGGAAATGTTCCAGGTCGCGACTCACAGCAGCCAATTCCAGTGACGACGAACGGTATCGTCGGCGAAACCCTAGGCCGCGGACGACGGGGAGATAGTGGTAGAGGCGAACCCTCGCGCGCGAGAAAGGAAAGGGGAAGAGCCCATGACGGCATGTGATGGTCTCGACGGTGGGCGGCTGAGCTGGCGACGGCTTGAACGGCGACACGCGGTGGCCGGTCTGGCGGTGTGCTTGCAGAGGTGACGCCCTTCATCGGAGTTCTGGGAGAAGAGAAACCTGTTTCTCGTATGGAAGAATGAAGAAGATGAGATTAGACCCTGATAGGTTTCTAAAAAAAAAGAGTCTTGGCATCTAGCTATTGGGCCGTGGCATTTCCCTCTCCTTGCCAGCACAACTCCATTCATACCCACTTTCATATGGGCTTAAACCCATTCCATGTAAATAAAAATAAAAGAGGAAGAATAAAAAAATATAAAAAAGAAATTGGCCTCGGTCTTGGGTCAACATTCACCAGTGGCACCCCAAGCTTCACCATTGCACCCTTACGTTCATTTGGGCCTGGGTTGGATGAAGCAAATCGTGTTACATCTCTGGTTTTTATCTCTGCACCCCTATTCCTGTTGGGCTTTTCACTTGCTTTATTTTTATGCTTTTGCTTTCTTTTTATTAGTTGGTTTTTATTGCATGTAACCCCCTTTATGATAATCCCACACCCTTTTATTTTATATCAATTGGACTTATTTGTTTGATTTTTTTTGCATAAAAAATTATAAAAAAGAAGAAGAAAAGAAAGATAAAATATATAAAAATAATAATAATATCAAAAATGATTTTAAGCACATGTGTGATCGCACGCATCGTCCTTGTGCTAAAATCCTTTTCTCTTCTTTCTCAAATAAAATTATAAAAATATGTCTTAAAGGGTTAAGTACATGTGTGATCGCTCGCATCGTTCTTGTGTTAAAACCCCTTTTCACTTTTTTTTTCTCAAAAGAAAAATACAAAAAAATATATAAAATCTTCAAAAAAAACTAAAAACATCCACATTTTCAAACAATAAACAATATTACTAGCCAGAACTACGTGATCCTTGATTCTCCATCAAAAGTGGAGATACGTAGGAGCAAGGCTAGACCTTGTCAGGTTCACTTTTCCAAAAATCCAAATTTATCCAAAATCATTTCTAAACAAAATTCTCAAACAATTTCCTAAACAAAATTTCAATTCTAAAAGAACTACGTAATCCTGATTTCTCATTTTAATGAGAATACGTAGGAGCAAGGTCCATCCTTGTCGGGCCCAAAAAACTAAAAAATATATTTTGTTTCTTTAGAATTTTATTTTAGGGGATAATTAAACATTTTGAAAACCACATCATATTCGCGTATTTAGTTAAAGGTACTGCCTTAGGACAGGCGTTGTAGGGTGCTAATACCTTCCCTACACGTAACCGACTCCCGAACCCAGAATCTGGTTTTTCCTAGACCATGCCTTATCATTTTATGGTTTTTCCGTAGTTTTCCAGAATAAACTATGGTGGCGACTCCAAATCTCTTTTTCAAAATCTTTTGTTTCATCGTTTTTTTTTCTTTTTCGGATCGTCGTCCCGTCGCGATTCCGGTTGCGACAAATGGTGACTCCACTGGGGACTCAGAGAGTCAAGCCGTTTAATTAGATGTGCGAATTCAATGTGTTTTTTCTTTGTGTTTTTCTTCCCTTTTTTCTTTATCTTTGTCTGATATTTGGCATAATTGCATGTGTGTTTGTTTTGATTATATTGAACCCTAGGGTAGAAAACGTGTTATATCTGCCTGGGAATCTTCTGGTTGTTTTGCAGGTGAGGGTTTGGGGTGTACAATTGCATTCTCCCTTCACACACACAATATGCATATCATGGTTGTCTATCATTTCCTATTTTACAATAAATATGTCATGTTTCTTTTGATAAAAATAATAATAAAAATAATAAATAAAATTAATTTTGGGGCATGAAAAATCTTTGAAAAAAAATTAATAAATTATACATATTTTGGGGCAATATAGATCATTGTTTTGAATTTCTGGACATCATTTTTCATACAAATAAAATGTGAATTGTTATCTTTCAAAAAAAAATTTGCTTTGAACGTGAAATATTTTCCTTTCAAATAAAAAATAAATAATTTTTCTCATATGTATATCTATTTCTCTTAAATTTAAAAATTAAAAAAAAATTTAAGTCATTAAAAAAAATAATCTGAAATCATTTTTTTTTCAAGCTTTTTGAGAATAGTTCTTGGGTTCGTTGGACCCGATTGACATTTATGTTTTTATTGAGTCCGATTTCACTAAAAAAACCAAATAAAAATCATAAATAAAAAGAATATTTAAAAAAAAAAAGGGATCATAGAAAATTCGAATTCATGTTGTTCAATATTGTTTTTTCATAGATCATAGGCTTACCTTGAGCCCATTTTTCGTTGTTTCATATAAATAATTCATTGAAACTTTTGTTCATGATTTTCACTTCAGATCTTATTTTTTATTTCGAAGTCAATTTTCCTTATTTTTGAATATACATTATTTCCTCTTGAGTCCATTTTTTCGTTGTTTTATACAAATAATTCATTCAAAATTTGTTTATCATTTTCACTTCAGATCTCATTTTTTTATTTGAAGTCAATTTTTCTTATTTTTCTTCATTGTAAATATAATTTAAGAAAAAAAAAAACTCATTTCTTCATTTGTTTCATACATATAATTGATTGGAAAATTTGTTCAGACCGAATAAATCAAAGAAAGACATAAGATCTAATCCATTTCATCATCAAAGCAAAAATTATAGTAAAAGACAGAGGAAAGAATATTGAATATAGATACCAATTTGAATACACCAAAACGGTCTTAACATTATGATAAATAAAAACAAAAAAAATTAATTACAATATTGCAGTCTCCTTGAAGGAACTATTCATTGACAGAAAAGACAAAAAAAACGGATAGATCTAACAGAAAAGACGCAAAGTTACAAATTTAAACAAAAAAAAACATAATAATAATAAAAATAAAAGATGTTCAAGGGTCGATCACTGGTGATCGTTAAAATTACAGTCCAAATAAAGAGAAAAAACACATAAAAAGAAAAAATTACAATTTGCAGTCTCTTCAAAGAGACTATTCATCAACAGAAGGCAGTCGTAGAGAAAGTTCAACAGGAGGAGCCTTCACCTGGAACCGAAGAGGGGGAGAGACCTCATTTTTTTCTGGGACGGGAGGGGTCGGAAAAAGATCTAGTGTCACTCGATCTGGAATCGACTGCGCTGCCCGTGAAAGATCTCTAAAATAAAAGAAAACAAAAAAATAAAAAATGTCAAAAAAGAAAAAAAAATAAAAAACAAAAAAAATATATAAAAAAAAAGGGGGCTTACCATCCATAAAAGGCGGCAGGAGGGGTATTGGAGAGTAAGATGTGGTGGCGGTGCTTCGCTTCAGACATCACTGTTTTTCACGATATCCATAATTCTGAAACCAGCAGTAAACACTATATTTCTCGATTTTTCCGTAAACTTCTTGTACTTGCTCCCTATTCGGGTTTCTTATCCCAAACGCGAAAAGTGCCTCTAATAAGGCAACCTGTTCTCTAGTGGGAGCCCATCGTTTATACCCAATTTTGTCCTGAACTTCAAAATTTCTTAAATTTTGGTTCATTTTTCTAAAAAAAAAAAAAGAGTGAAGCACTGTTATTAGTTAATTTGTCCATATGTCCAGTTTAGATATGTCATCCAAGTCCTTGCAAAGGATCCTACTAGGTCTAGGTCCAACCAGTTTTGTCCATAATTTGGTTTTAGGTTACCTTGGAATGAAATTAAGAATAGTTTTCCAGTTCATATACTTCATTATTGATTTCTTTTTTAGTATAAAAAAAAAGAGGTGAAGAGTGGTATAGCAATAGCAAAAAACGAGTAGAAAGGAAGGAAAAAAGAAAGCATAAAAGAACAAAAAACAGGAAAACATAAAGTAAAGAAAAAACCCAGAAAGCATAAGGGAACGAAAAAAAACAACAGGAAAGCTTAAAGGAAAAAACAAACGGAAAGAAGGACAGAAAAACCGAACAGCATAACGAAAAGAAGAAAAAAAACACAGAAAAGAAAGAAAGAACAAAAAATCAGAAACCATAAGGGAAGGAAAAAAACAGAGAGGGAAGAGGGAAAGAAAAATAGAGAAAGCGTAAAGGGAAAGAACGAAAAAAAACTTAAAGGAAAGAAAGAGAGATTAAGAGATCAGAGCACTTACACGAACGCGAAGGGCAAAGGGCTTACAGAAAGAAAGGCTCCTCGCAGAACTACGGCACCCTCGAAGGTACGCGGAGACAGATGCGAAAGGCGCAAGGACAGAGGCTCCTCGCGAAATCCAGACGCTCGAAGGACGCTCAAGAGAGATAGAGGGAGAGAGATAAAGAGTGAGCAGACTGAAATGTCGCTCGGACGCGGAGGACTACCCAATTTATAGCCAAAATTTTCCACTGTAGCAACAGTTTCGGTCGTTGTCACCGTCTAATGTCACAAGGCCGGTCATTTTTCAAAAAAAAAATAAAAAAATAAAATATTTATTAAAAAATAATAATAAAAATAATAAAAATATCAATCAAAATTTCAAAATAAAAAATATGAAAAATGTTCAAACAATTTTTGAGCCCATCTGAGCCTAGTTACGTACATAATTTTCATTCTATTTCTAAGAAAATGAAAACACAAAAAAAAAATAAAAAAAATTCTTCTAATATGTTTAACCCAATATTAAACATATTAGAAGAATTTTTTTTTTGTATTTTCATTTTTTTAAAAATAGAATGAAAATTATGTACGTAACTAGGCCCAGATGGGCTCAAAAATTGTTTGAACATTTTTCATATTTTTTATTTTGAAATTTTGATTGATTTTTTTTATTATTATTTTTTTGATAAATTTTTTATTTTTTTTTTGAAAAATGACCGGCACTGTGACATCAGACGGTGGCAACGACCGAAACTGTTGCTACAGTGGAAAATTTTGGCTATAAATTGGGTACTCCTCCGCGTCCGAGCGACATTTCAGTCTACTCACTCTCTCTCTATCTCTCTCTTGAGCGTCCTTCGAGCGTCTGGATTTCGCGAGGAGCCTCTGTCCTTGCGCCTTTCGCATCTGTCTCCGCGTACCTTCGAGGGGGCCATAGTTCTGCGAGGAGCCTTTCTTTCTGTAAGCTCTTTCCCCTTCGCGTTCGTGTAAGTGCTCTGATCTCTTAATCTCTCTTTCTTTCCTTTAAGTTTTTTTTCGTTCTTTCCCTTTACGCTTTCTCTATTTTTCTTTCCCTCTTCCCTCTCTGTTTTTTTTCCTTCCCTTATGGTTTCTGATTTTTTGTTATTTCTTTCTTTTCTGTTTTTTTTTTCTTCTTTCCATTATGTTGTTCGGTTTTTTTGTCCTTCTTTCCGTTTGTTTTTTCCTTTAAGCTTTCATGTTGTTTTTTTCGTTCCCTTATGCTTTCTGGGTTTTTTCTTTCCTTTATGTTTTCCTGTTTTTTGTTCTTTTATGCTTTCTTTTTCCTTTCTGCTCGTTTTTTGCTATTGCTATACCACTCTTCACCTCTTTTTTTTTTTATACTAAAAAAGAAATCAATAATGAAGTATATGAACTGGAAAACTATTGTTAATTTCATTCCGAGGTAACCTAAAACTAAATTATGGACAAAACTGGTTGGACCTAGACCTAGTAGGATCCTTTGCAAGGACCTGGATGACATATCTAAACTGGACATATGGACAAATTAACTAATAACATTGCTTCACTCTTTTTTTTTTTTAGAAAAATGAATCAAAATTTAAGAAATCTTGAAGTTCAGGACAAAATTGGGTATAAACGATGGGTTCCCACTAGAGAACAGGTTGCCCTATTAGAGGCACTTTTCGGTTTGGGATAAGAAACCCGAATAGGGAGCAAGTACATGAAATTGCGACCAGGCTTAAAGTTTACGGGGAATATAGTGTTTACTGCTGGTTTCAGAATTATGGATATCGTGAAAAACAGCGATTTCTGAAGCGAAGCACCACCACCACGTCTTACTCTCCAATACCCCTCCTGCCGCCTTTTATGGATGGTAAGCCCCCTTTTTTTTGTATATTTTTTTTTCTTTTTTGATTTTTTTTGTTTTCTTTTATTTTGGAGATCTTTCACGGGCAGCGCCGTCGATTCCAGATCGGGTGACACTAGATCTTTTTCCGATCCCTCCCGTCCCAGAAAAAAATGAGGTCTCTCCCCCTCTTCGGTTCCAGGTGAAGGCTCCTTCTGTTGAACTTTCTCTACGACGGCCTTCTATTGATGAATAGTCTCCTCATAGAGACTGCAAATTGTAATTTTTTTTATGTGTTTTTTTTCTTTATTTGGACTGTAATTTTAACGATCACCAGTGATCGACCCCTGAACATCTTTTATTTTTATTATTATGTTTTTTTTTTGTTTAAATTTGTAACTTTGCGTCTTTTCTGTTAGATCTATATGTTTTTTGTATGTCTTCTCTGTCAATGAATAGTTCCTTCAAGGAGACTGCAAAATTGTAATTAATTTCTTTTATGTTTTTATTTATCATAATGTTAAGACTATTTTGGTGTATTCAAATTGGTATCTGTGTTCAATATTCTTTCCTCTGTCTTTTACTGTAATTTTTGCTTTGATGATGAAATGGATTAGATCTTATGTCTTTCTTTGATTTATTCGGTCTAAACAAATTTTCCAATCAATTATCTGTATGAAACAAATGAAGAAATGGGTTTTTTTTTTCTTAAATTATATTTACAATGAAGGAAAATAAGAAAAATTGACTTCAAATAAAAAAATGAGATCTGAAGTGAAAATGATAATATTTAAATGAATAATATTCTTCATTGCAATGTATAATTCAAAATATATTTTTGAATTTGAAAATAATTTAAATATTTATTAATTATATCTATAAATGTGAAATAGTAGTATGCTAAAATGTATATGGAAGAAAATTATATTCTAAATTAGGTCAACACAAAATTCATTCACAAGATAATTGTGTAGATGTATTAGTCCTAGGTGTTTTTTTACCAAAAACTTTATTAAAGTCATGCAAAAATACCTTTTACAAAAAATAGGTTAGTTAGTGTAAAATTTTGTCTGTCTCATGAAAAATATTTTACATATTATTTGTTAAGTAGGATATTTTATATTCTTTTTATAAAGTACAATGAAAAAATAAATATACATTTATTTTAAAAATTAAAAGTATATTTAACTATAATTTTAATATTATTAATTAATTCTATTTGATGTATAAAAAGAACTGATATGTTAACACGTGAGATGTACAGTTATTTTTTAAATAATATGCAAATGAATGATATTTACTGTACAAATTTCAAGAGCCGTAGTTATATTTTACATATTTAATAAACTTACATGCAGTGTGTCTTAGTCTTAACTTTTCATTTCAAACAAATATTAATTAGTATAGCCTAACAAAAGTAACAATTGTCAATTTTGGGGCACAAAAAGGAAAATAAAATTTATATAAAAATCGTCTAAACCAAAATTTATTTTTTTTAGGAACTAATTAGAAAAAATTTAAACTTTAGAATTAATATCACTGTGATTACCAGATAAATTATCTCAGTCTTAAATTGAGAGTACCACAAAAAAATATCAAATAAAATAATATTTTGGGGGTAAAATTACAAAAAGAACTTTAATAGTTCACAATGCTTTTGTGGCATAAGAAATACTTCACAAAGCATAATTTCAATCCCAATAATCATTCCAACTTAAAATTAAATTAACATGCTTTATTACTCAGCGTATTGTTATTGAGGTTAAATATGATTTTAGTCACTTAATTTCAGTAAAATTTAGAATTAATTTTTCTTTGAAATTTTTGACCAATTTAGTCTATCATCTTTAGAATTGTGTAAATTTGGTCTTTTTAATCAAATTTTGTTAAGTTTATTTGATGCTTCAAACACATTTTTCAGTTAACATTAAAGTAAAAATATGTCAAACAATGTAAAAAACTTAAATCTTGAAACACATTTTAAATGTCAAATAAACTTAACAAAATTTAGTTAAAAGAACTAAATTCACGCATTTCTAATGTTTGTAGACTAAATTACGTCAAAGTTTTGAAAATAGACTATTTTCAATTTTCGCTAAAAGTTAAAGGACCAAAAACATATTTAATTCTTATTATTATTACTATTATTGAATAAGACATTTTAAGTTTTCGTTATAATATTGACAAAAACACGAGATATCCAAATGAGTTGAAAGAAGATTTGGTATTCCTTTGACAAAGGAGATATTTCACCTCTCCACTTAGCACTTAAATCTTCGTTACAGACTTCAGAAGAAGTACCTATTTCACCCAAAGTGAAACTAACATCATCAAATACCTTGGACTTCAAAGAAGCTAGAATCATGTCTAATATAAGTACGCTAGCCTGGTACAAACGAGAACATTCTTGTAAGGTTATAATTACCGATTTATCCAAACTTTTGTCCTTCAAGAGCTCTGAAATAATGGAAAGCACATTGGTTGCATTGTTCGTGGAAAGTGTAATTAAAATGTCCACAAGATCTTCAAGGTTGGTGGGTGGTGGATGTAACTTAGAAGAAGCTTCTTCAAGGCATGTAACACAGAAATCATACTTAATTATTTCTGGGTCTCTCTTTGAGGCCTCCTTGCAATTTTTAGAGATAAGATCAAAACCATTTGAGTTTTGAAACAAAAACAAAGACACGATGAAAATCATCACTACATTCAAAGTAAATTTCATTGTTGTCTTTTTTTTTTCTACAATTCACTATGTTGGTCAGAAATGGAATAAAATTTGATCCATATATCACATAATATATAATAGATATTGATAGAGAGAGAAATTATCTATTTATTTAAGAAATAAATAAATTACTGAATTTCACTAGTCTACATTAACTATATATTAAATGTATTTGATTCTTTATTGTCATATTATTAATGTTTTTTCTGCAAATTAAGTTCTTCTCTTTATTTTTCATTAATTAATAATTAATGATTATTGAATAATCATTATGTATCTTGATCGATTGTAAAAATTTACAAAAATAATATTTTAAAAACAATAATAATTTAAAAATAATAAAATTCAATTATTTTAATATCAATCAGTTTTAATGTAAATAGTTTTGTTATGCGTATTGATACAAAGTTTTCTTTAAATATAAAAAAAAATAGGATGTTACAATATTTATGTGTAGTATTTTCTTTTATAACTAATGAAAATAAAAGTAAAAGTATTTCAAAATTAAATGTTATAACAATTATTAAAATAAAAAATTACTAAAATTTATATGAAAATTAAAAAAATTGATATAAAAGTATATATTTTTAGTAAGTGTATAGTATTGTAATTACATAGCATTCAACGATAATTATTATTCATTGTAGATAGTTTTCTTACAAAATAAAAAACAATAAAATAAATTATATTTATAGAGATCGAATAACTGTAAGAGCCTAAAAATGAAATGTTGAGAGCCTTTCTTTGTTGGTAGAATAGAGGAACCTTAAAAACCTGAGTTGGCACATCCCTGATCATAGAGCAGCCCTGGCCTGGTCCAGTCAGTTGTGACTAGTCATATGTGCTGACGTCGAAGGTGAGTTTGATGCGTTCAGACATCTGGGTCCTCTCCGATGACCAATTGGGGTAAAGAAAGATCTCTACTAGGATGAAAATAAAATAAAACAAGTTGATTGTAGATGCATAAAGTTATCATGTGTTAATTTCTAGTCAATTATAATTTTAGAAAATCAGACACTGTGTGTTTGGAATTTAAAGTAACGATCCATATATAAATATATATATATATATATATATATATATATATATATATATATATATATATATTTTTTTTATTGT